TTTTACCTATACTTTTTTGAGCACAACTTCACACTGTTGCCTAGCCTACAGTGCCATGGGGTCATCCTAGCTCACAGCAGCCTTAAATTCCTAGGTTCATGCCTCAGCCTCCCGAGCAGCTGAGATTACAGGCGCTTGCTACAACACTTGGCTATTTTTTTTGTATTTTCAGTAGAGATGGGAGTCTCGTTCTTGCTCACTCTTGCTCAAGCTGGTCTCAAACTCCAGGCAGAGGTCAAGGGACCCCCCCCCGGCCCCAACCTCCCAGAGTACTAGGATTACTGGTGTGAGCCAGTGTGCCCCACCAGGTTCTTAATGTGAGGGTACTGGTTTCATCATGGCACTGATATGTTTAGTTTTGTTTTATTTTGAAAGAAAATCTTGACCTTCTCTGTGCCTGAGGTTCAAACACTTTGCCAGTTATCTGGTTAACCTGTATCCCCTTAGGACAGCAGGGAAAGGTCCTGGTACTATGTACGTTTTTAATAAAACATGGTTCTCACAATTATGTAATTGTGTTCTGGGTGTGGCTACTCAAGGGAGTTACACATAGGTTGTAATACTGGAAAATGTCACTTTTTTTTTTTTGGCAGACAGTTTCACTATGCTGCCCTCATTAGGATGCTGTGGCATCACAGCTCACAGCAACCTCCAACTCTTGGGCTTAAGAAATTATCTTGCCTCAGCTTCCTATGTAGTTGGGACTATAGGCGCCTGCCACAATGCCTGGCTATTTTTTGTTGCAGTTGTCATTGTTGTTTAGCTGGCCTGGGCTGGGTTCGAACCTGCCAGCCTCAGTGTATGTCTGGTGCTGAGCCCACTTTTTTCTTTAGACCAGTTCTTTTGCTAACTATCAGAGCTATTTTATTCTGTCATCACCATTAGTGCAAGTGGATGTGACTCTTGAGAGGTGTATTTCAGTAATACCAATTTGTTGCTAGTGAAGATAGCTTTCTGAGATTTGATCTTCTCATAGAATCCTAGATTTTCTAAAGAGGAGAGATCCCTTCTTGCTGTGGAGTTTGTTTTCTCTGTTCTTGTACATCCTCTGTGTAGTTTATACAGACAAACGAAGAGACAATCGTGCCAGCTATGCTAACTGCTAGCTTTTGAAGCCTCATTCTGCCTCTAGTATTGAAAGGTCCAGGAGGATCTTTTCTTTGAGACTTCTCATTCTTCTCTCTTTATCGTTTTACTTGACTCCATGCCCTTAAGTGTGTGCATAGGAAATCATGGTTTTAGGATTTTAGTTTGTTTTGAAAACAGTGTGTGGATTTGCTCGGGTTTATAATATCCTCTGTTGGCTGTAGAAGATGTAAATGTGATGACTTTGTTTATTTTTAAGAAAATTTTACAACAAAGGAAAACTTACTGTCTGGAAATCCCAGTCCTCAGGACATTTGTAATAGCAGTTTGCCCAGTGTTTACAGTTTTTGAAAAATCCTGGCAGATATTTAAACTTTACCAGCTGCAAGGTGAAAAAAAGCATTTGAGTTTCCTGGCTGGGATTATAGGATATTGGTCAATGTGGTAACACTGGTTCTTGTTGATCAGAAAAACCCTCTGATTCATGATTAAATATTTATTTAGTAAATGAATATTTGGAAAATGAATGCTACTTCAATGGTGTGTGGTAGATTAAAAATCTTCTAAAATCAAGACTGTGAGAAGTGGTGTCTGTGGTGACAAGTAGGCCTGTAGAACTGTTATCTGCAGTGAGTGGTTGGTGTCCCCTGGAACCCCAGCTGCGAGTGCCTAGACTCCTCTGATACTCTGCTGAGGTCTTTTTTGGATCAATCTTGGGTGGAAGGATTCATGAATGGAAAGGCAAGAATTTGGGACTATTCATAGTTCATTTTAAAGAAAGCTATGAAATGTTTAGTTTTTAAAAATTATGTTTACATTTTTGGTATGATAGGCATCTAACCAGATAACACAGAAAAGAGAGAATGTATGTGTGTTGCATGTGAGAGACTGTTGGTGAAGAGAGGGATTCAAAGAAAACGTATGTTAGAATTTATAAGTGAAATAAGAGAGCCAGTGTAAATTTTGACTAAATTGCTGGACACAAGTCTGTGTTTAAAAAAGTTTCTTTGGCCTCTCCTCAGATTTGATTCTACTTCTGTGTTTTGAATGTATGACTTTTAAAATAATTTAATGCAAAGCAACCTCATTCTTTTGCAAAGGGTCACTTCTTAAATGTTGCCTTGATTTGTTAGATTTGGACCTGGATATTGGGGAATTCTAAATTTTGAAGAAGCAAAAGGATGTGTTCAGTCAATACTCAGGTATCATCTCTTAATCCTTAAAATTTATGGCTCCTAGTACAGAATGGCTATACTCCACCCTCGAGCCATAAGGAACAAACAGTAGGTGTTGCATCACAGAAAATCGCACTGTGAGGGGAAAAAAAATTGCAAGACACACACTAATCCTGTGAAGTCACTTTTGGGTTTGTGGGAGTCAGTAAGAGATGCATAAAGGCTAAAAAACCAAAATGGTTGTCCTTGCTGCTAGGGAAGCTCACTAGGCTGAAACTCTTTGCTTATGTCAAGAACAACAGTGAGAGCAGCGTTGGGGCTGGAAGAAGTAAGGGGCAGTTACACACGGAAAACTGGGTTAGTGTGAACAGGGGTGAAGCAGTGCGTTTTGGGTAGAGTGGCCTTTAAGTTAGAAAGCTGCCAGGTACCATGCAGAGCCAGGGGTTCCCGGGACTGACTGTGGCTCTCCCAGGCCTTTCTAGCCCACACTCTCCAAGCTGCCTTGTTTTGAGTCAATTTTATAGCATCAAAGGTACGATGAGACATTTTGTTTCGTAACTTGTCCAAGCCTGCCAGTTGAATGGAGCCAATTTTCAGATAAGCAGGAGTGCTAATTACTAGCCCTGTCCAAATTTGGAGAAACTTTCAGAGCTTTTCAAAACCCATTCGGATTATAGGCCTCATTTAAGTTGCTCAAGCGGAAATTACAGTAGTAACTTTGAACACATAGACGCAGAGGCCTCAAAGCTTGACAGTCTGCAGTGTCCAGCCGTAGAAATGTTATTATTTCTAACAGAAGTCGGATTGTTCCTAACAGAAATGTAGTTTCCTTATATGTTCACATTACCACTTGGCATCATTAAAAAAATAAGACATTAGAATGCTGTCTGGGAATGGCCGAGTGTTTTGGATTCCCAGTGCTAATTACAGCAGGAGGGCTTGGAAGGTGGTGGAGAGAGATTTTCACTTAAAAATCACCAGCAGACGCAGACTGTATGCCGTATTTGGCTGGGCACTTGGGCAGATATAAAGCCGAGTAAGAAACAGCCCTATCTTGGACACATCTGCTCAGAGTCTGGGGGAGGAGACCTCAGGGCTAAAGAATCTAGAAGAGAGAACAGGTGTAGAGAAAGACTTTTCCCATGTGCAAGCAAGCAGCTGCTTCTGGGGCTCAGCTTTTCAGAGTGCGTATTAGCACTTTGCAAGAGTTAAGTCTCCTGTGGCCTCTGCCAGGCCATGGGTCTGGGTCGGAGGGGTTAGTTTTTAGCAGACATTTATCTAGGTAATTAGTTCAGGGATCCAGCCAGCTCACCTTTCAGCCCCAAACACTGTGGTAAAGACATTACTCTGAGCTTCTCTCTATTGAATAGCTTTGGTCCCTCCCACTTTCTTTTATCCAAGCCTCCTGGCATTTGTGTAGCTTGAACAGTCATAAATAAAAGAGCTCAGCTCCTTTAGAGTTAGCCCTTGAAGTGGGCCAAGAGGCTTCAGATTGCCTTCTGCTCCCCAGTTTTGATTTCCTCTTGCATATGGTTGAGCTGGCACAACACCCCAATGGTGGGGTCCATGTTTTGGGGGGGAGCTTTGAGAACCAGCCACCTGGCTCATTACCCCTGGTACCATCAAGTTATTTGCTCCTGGTACATAGCACTTTATTTATTAGATGTGGTCTCATGTAAAAGGTTCCCTCACCGGCTTCTATTTTAAATTGTGGCAGAGAAAGGTAACATAATTATCTGTTGGCCCTGGACACCTCCTCCTTAGTTCTTAAACATCTTTCAGAAATTGGGGTTATCGGGGCTTTGTGAAAGGAGGTTTTTCCACAGCTCATTCAGCTTTGTTCAAGGCAGTAACACACCACTGAACAAATTGCCCCCTTGCATATGCTAATCTCACACTTAAAAGAACTCATTGTAACATGTTCTGATGCTTTAGTCCAAGGGGAGATGGGAATTGAAGGGATGTCAGAGCATGTCATGTGACCCCCAAATATCTAAAATGCCTGTTTTCTTTGGGTCAACAGTTTGTACTCAGCATATGCGAATGAAAGTATCCTGTGTGGTTTGTGGAAAAGATTAGTCCTTGTTCCTGCTTTTGTGTGTGGGAGCTGGCCTGGCTATTGAAGATTCACTGGCTGAAATTCCCGCTTTGGGTCTTAAATTTCAGTCCTGTTGGCGAGGAACACCAAACCTTATTTTCAACAATAAATTAAAAGAATTCAAAAGAATTCCTTCATTGTTGCTGCGGAAAATGTGATTTGCCTTTTAGGAGACCATGCTGTTAATCTCACCACGTCCTTTGTGTCTTTTTAGAGTGGTACACATTGACTCTTACAGTTAAAGAACATGTCTAATAGAGTAATCTCAAGATTTGCTCATAGGCCCTGCGTATTCCCAGCCAGGAAGTCGCAGTGGGAAAGAATAAAAACACACACATACAACACAGCAAGCTCCTGTTTCTCTAACTGTAAATAGAACAGAAGTACATTTTGAATGAGGCCCGAAGGATCCACCAGGCTTTGGATGGTTTGATTGTAAAGTCAGGGTCCCCCTTTTAAGTACATAAACCTCTATAAATGTTTGCCATCAAAGTCTTTAGATGAGATGAATTAAATGGAATGAAAGGCTGTGTAGGTATCACCTTTCTAAAATAGTTCTCACATCCAGGTTGGGTTTTCATGTGTACAAAGAGGCTTGGGAAGAAATCTTTGATTAATTTTTTTTTTTTTTTGTCTTGCAGAGTAATTCCCTCCTGGTCCCAGACAGTCTAAGAGGCACAGATAAACGCAGAAATGGGCCTGAATTTTCCAACGACATCAAGAAAAGGAAGGTGGATGATAAGGACTCCAGCCATTATGTAAGTAGTTAAAGGACGTGAAATGATATCTGATTGCTTATTGCTCATTCTTTGAGTATCCAAGTGTACTCTTAAGATCGTAACCGATCATTCCACATACCTTAAAAATAATCCTATGAAGAGGATAGATTCTTACCTGGTATAGTATATTAACTTCCTTTTAGGAATGCCTAATATTGGTGCTGCTTGGGTCAAGAATTTGTCCTTTAATCTTACTTTTCCCCCATAAGAGTCAAGACCAAGAGTGGTATGCCTTTCTGTTGCTCTCCAGAGTCGATACAGGAAGGCTGTTGGGGTTTCCTCGGGCCCCTGGGTATGGCAGAGGCCTTAGAATAATTGACCACCTTTTGCCTGGCAGCCTTGAGGCCAGCCTGGACACATACTAGAAAATGTCCTCTCTTCCACCTTCCACCTCTCTTCTGAGGAGCTATTATTCCGCTCTGGGTCAGTCATGGGCACTGCTATTTTACCCGCTGGATATCTTGAATTTGAAAGATGTAACCTTGTGGCAAACTTCTGTGCCTCGGTCAACACCCTCGATTTCTCATAGTTATTTAAAGAAGAACATGTACGTCTTTCCAAGCCATGTTATAGGTTAGGCACAAACGCTGGAAAGTCTCCCTCACTGTACAGTTCCCAGGGTGATCAGTGTAGCTTCCCACATGTGTTATATTTGTTCTGTTAAACTAAAATGCTTATGAATTGGGCTTGGTCATGACTCCGGTGCTGCTTCCACCAAAGGTGGGGGCCAGGCTGCCTTTTCTCCTGCAGAGGTAGAGAAGGCACCACCCCCTCGGGCCTCCCAAGTATGGGGACGGTATGGAACCAGAGGAGCATTTCTGGTTTCCTCTCTCTCTTTTTTTTTTTTTTTTTTTTTTAGACAAAGTGTATTACTTTGTCACTCTCAGTACAGTGCCATGGCATCACAGCTCACAGCAGCTTCAAACTGTTAGACTCAAGTGATCCTGTTATCTCAGCTTCTTAAGTAGCTGGGCACCTGCCACAATGCTCGGCTATTTTTTCAAGACAGGGTCTCGCTCTTGCTCAGGCTGGTCTCGAACTCCTGAGCTCAAGCAGTCCACCTACCTTGGCCTCCCAGAGTGCTAGGATTACAGATGTGAGCCACTGCGCCTGGCTCCACAGAGGAGGATTTTTTAGCATCATAGCCTTAAAAGTCTGTATGTGTGGCATTTGGCCCATTTTCCTTCTCCTTTGTAAACAAGGTCCAATTGTAAGATGGTGGGGTGATTAATTTAGAGTCCTGTGTGGCAGCCACTGTTCTCTCCTGTCCAGCTTGTACTGTGGCCGGGCGGTCATGTAGAAGATTAAATGTTTTTTTCTTTAGAGTGTCTAGATTAAACTTGTCCCAATTTGAGAGAATAAAAGTAAGGAGAAGGAAAAGGGGCTATTCTGAGGCCTGTTAGAGCTGGGTTTTGCCACATAACAGCCAGAGCCCCACGATCAGTCCAGACATCTTTCAGATTCGTAGGAAGAGGGGCTGTGTACAACCCCTCACTAAGATCCACTCAGGTTTTTTCTCCCCTAAAAGTAAACTCTAGGACAAAGACGTGTACGTATTAACACGCTCATTTATACCAGTACTGTTAATAGCACCAGCAATTGGGTGGCCAGCCACAACAAGGAGGGCATTTCCTGGTTCGGAGGAGAAGCAGCAGTTTAAAGGTAACGGAGAAAGGCTGGATAGATCTAGGAGTCTAAGTACAGTGGAACCTCCATAAGTTGACTGTGCATGGGATTGCAGCACCCTGGCCAGCATATGGAGGTCAGCCACGGAGGCTGTGCTGTGCTCACCTGGGCCCCACCCCACGTGGGAGGTTGGACGGCACTGCCTGTGGGGGAAGATATGGCAGTTTAGTGTGGGCAAAAGCCAGTGGAGGAAATGTTATCCAGCCCCAACATGAGAAAGGAAGTAAGCAAGCATCCCATCCAATTAGAAAGGAAAGTACATTATTAAAACCAGTGCACAGCCTGGAAGCACATAAATAAAATGAAAGACTGCTCCCCTATCACGAGGGGTATGTCCTCAAACTCCTCATCCCTCTTTGCTCTTAATCACTGTGTTAAGATTTCCAAACCAAATTCTTGATTTAGCCAAGAATTTTAGCGTGCAGTCTGAGATGGCAAGAGTGGAAAAGTGAGAGCCAGTACCTGGGAGGAGATTTCAACCGTGCAGCACCACCCCAGGCGCTGGACACAGGGCAGGAAAATTCAAAATAAGAGTGGGCTTACCTAGTTATCAGCAGAATTAATTCTCCCAGGTTTATCCAAGTCTTGCAATGCCAAAAATGTAGGGCTTTAAGGTCTGTCAGGGTTTCAGGTAGTTGCCTGGGTCCTTAGCTCGTGGGGTGCTCTTGGCTGAAAAATGACCAGATAAGGCAAGATAAGGCAACCATGAAACAAAGGTTACTGAGAAAGAGAAAAATAGGTTTACAGAGCAAGATATATTCACCATATGCAGCGAATGAGCCCCCATTGTCACAAGGAAAATGGCTTGGGTCATGGCTGCCAGTTCTCCTTTATACTGTCTGTATCTCACCTATCTCCTGATTCAGAGGTCACCTTGGAACCAGAGTCTTACTGCGCATGCTGACCTCCCAGGAGCCTCCCCCAGAACCTTATGTGTGTGTGTGGGGGGGGGGGGGAGTGGACTGCAATGTAGATTTAAGCTAACAACATGATAATTAGTCTCAAGCTGCTCTTTCTTATTTTGAATTTCCCTGCCCTGTGGCCAGCGCCTCAGGTGGTGCTGAATGGTTGAAATCTCCCCCCAGGTACTCCTCTCACTTTTCCACTCTTGCCATCTCAGACTGCAGGCTAGAATTCTTGGCTAAACCAAGTATTTGGAACACAGTGATAAGAGCAAGGTCATTTTTAAGACTCTTGTAAATGTTGCTGGGCTAGAGAGTCTTCTATGTCCTTTTGCAAAATTGGTAGGTTGATCCCTCCTCCCCAGGTCTGATCACTGAGATGGGGCCTGGCGGCACCGACTCATCCTCCTTCCCGGGAGAGTAATTCCTAACATTCTGATCTTTGAATTCTCAATTTGTGAGCAAGGGCTCTCCATTTTCCTATTTTGTCTTGGGCCCTTCACATTTGGTGACTACTCCTGCTAAAACAGAGTACAAATGTTGGTGTCACAAAATACCTGGTTGGATACTATTCTGATAATATATTCAGGTCCGGGTTCAGGCTCTTACTAGTGTTCAAGGTAGAGAGTTTGTCTTCTTTCACGAGCATTTTAATAAATGGATAAAAATGGAAAAATGCCAGAGGCATCTTATTCAGGATCTGCAGATGAACTCACCCAGCTGGTTGGTAGAGTGAGGACTCTTATTCTACATATAGCTAAAACCACATGCAGAAGAAGAAAAGAATCAAGCCAAATGGCCACTGGCTGTGGTCTTGAGGTCACAGAAATTGCAGCCAAGGCATGTCCTAGAGTTGCCTTATGTGTCCTTGAGTGTCTGTTGCAAGATGAGTGTATTCTCAGGGACAGGATGGAAGCAGAATGTTGAATTGGGCCACTTCCCCATTGCCCTGGGAGGAAAAGGTGTCTGTTGTGCAGACTCTGAAGAGTTTTTAAACATTTGGCCTCTCTGTGTCTCCTGCTGTCTGCTCAGGCTAAACAGTAGGTAACATTTCTTGAGCTCTAACTGGGATTAGGTCCAAGAACCCTGTGCTTTTATTTGGATTATTTCATTTAATTCTTCCAACACCCAATGACTGATGCCATAGAAACATCATGCATTTAAGCAATTTGCTGAAGGTCACAATTGGTGGTAGAGCCTAGAAGGCAGCCCTACTCCAAAGTCCTTGCTTTTAATCACTGTGTTAAGATTTTCAAACCCAGCTCTCCTTTGTAGCAGATCCTCAAATGGATCCACCCTTTGCGGTAATGGTTTAATTACTTCCTCCCTTAAAAAGTTGTTGGCCCTTCCCATCCAAGCCCAAGCCTTTTTTAGGACCTATCACTTTCCTCCTGTCTGTTGCCCAGAGCTATATCCCATACAGGTACTTTCATTTGTTACTTCAAATGTTAATTAACAGGTGGAAGAGTCATGATTTACAGAAAGTTGCTGATACACAATTCTGAGTTGCGGCTAGTGTTTAAAAGTTATTTAGAGCCAGGCACAATGGTCATGCCCATAATTCTAGTACTCTGGGAGGCCGAGGTGGGAGAGACCAGCCTGAGCTAAGCGTGATCCCATCTCTACTGAAAGTAGAAAAAATTAGGTGTTGTGGTAGGCACCTATGGTTCCAGCTACTTGGAAATCTGAGGTAGGAGGATTGCTTGAACCAGGAGTTTGAGGTTTCTGTGAGCTGGACTGATGTCATGGTACTCTAGCTGGGCAACAGAGTAAGACTCTGCTTCAAAAAAAGGAAAGTTATTTAGTAATAAGTGATTTAGAATGCATAGCTCGGCATGACAATTTTGTACACTTACATACACTAGGTATGTTGGATAAGGTGGTCAGAGGCAGTATACTGAGAAAATGTAGGAGAATCTGGGACGGAGGCCTTAGACTTCAGTTCATCAGTGACAGTATATACTATACTACTGTGAAGGTTTATATCTGCAGAAGGGTCTAATAGGCAGCTAAAATTTAAATTAAAGAAAATTGAAGGACTCACTTCAGAATTGTATTATAATAAAGTAATTGCTACTTTTTGCTGGTTCAGTCTGCACACTGCATTAGCTGTTTTTATTTTTGCTAAAAGAGAAACTTTTAAAATTTATATATATGTGTTTGTGTGTGTGTGTGTGTATTTTTTTTTTTTTGGACAGAGTCTCACTATGTCTCCTTGGGTGGAGTGCTGTGGAGTCATAGCTCACAGCAATCTCAAATTCTTAGGCTAAAGCAGTCCTACCTTAGCTTCCTGTGTAGCTGACACTATGGGCACCCACCACAACACCCAACTAGTTTTTCTGTTTTTAGTAGAGATGAGGTCTTGTTCTACCTCAGGCTGGTCTCGAACTCCTGAGCTTAAGCAGTTCACCTGGTTCAGTCTCCCAAAGTGCTAAGATTACAGGCATGAGCCACCATGCCTGACCCTTAATTTATATTTTTTCACCACTATCGCTTAACACCTGAGAATATTTATGCTTTTGTGTGTGCTTTACTAAGAGAAAACAAATTTTTGTTAATAGTAGGTTTTTTTTTATTATGTGAAGATTTTTTTCAATAGATTGTTATTGTAGATTGCTTAGGCTTCCTCATTGGTTGTAAATTTATGCTGTTACTACTGAATTGCCTAGTGCCTTTGTAACAATGACTGAAGTATATTTTGTAATACACTATTGAAGAAAGTAAATTGAATCTCTCACCTGTAGTGCTCTACGTATGATGAGAAGAAAACACTTCAGACCCAAACTTAATGTTGAGAGCAAACTTTGAAGCTTGGACTCATGGGCTCACAAAAGGCAACATAGATAAGATTTGCACTTTATGTACTAATATTTCTTAGACACTATGTGTGTATTCTTAATTGACAAAGGCAGAAGTAAAAGGATTATTTAGATCATAAATTAGAGACCTATTCCTTTTTTAAGAATTCAGATCCATTGAGATGACCTGTTTTTTCTATATGCCCATTTATATTACTTTGCACTAAAGAACGTGACCTTTTGGCTAAGAAAGTAGACTTTTCTAGCCTGTCTTGAACTTACTACAGAAGTGGGTACCTCATTAAATTAAACAGCTTTTCTGAGTCTTTTCCAAATGCAATGCAACCTTGGAGTTTCCTCTGATTAAGTTTTATAGCTTTATGAAGAGATAGTAAAAGCCCATTGTAGGATTCCAGTGCCCTCCAGATGTTGCCATCTATCTTTCTTTGATTTCTCCAAAAATAAAATATTCCAAACTCATTGCTAAAGAGGTTTATTCTTGTTTTGTTTCATTTTATTTTTGAGACAGAGTCTTACTCTTGCCCAGGCTAGATTGCCATGGCCTTAGCCTAGCTTATAGCAACCTCAAACTCCTGGGTTCAAGAGATTTTCCTGCCTCCGTGTCCTGGGTAGCTGGGACTACAGGTGCCTGCAACAACACTCAGCTAATTTTTCTATTTTTGGTAAATATGGAGTCTTGTTCTTACTCAGGCTGGTCCCAAACTCTGGAGCTCAAAGAATCTTCCACTTTAGGGCCTCCCAGAGTGCTGGGATTATAGATGTGAGCCCCAATGATGAGACAAGAAGTTTATTCTTATCACGAGGTTAGATCTTGTTCTAGTACTTCATGCAGTAGCCAACTTGGTTGTTTTTAGTTCTTTATTTGTTTCATTTTTTTTTGTAGTGATTAGTAACCCTGTAGAAAAATGTGTAAATTTATCCCTGTACCTATGCATTGTATATTAGCTCCAGATTGGGTAGCTGTCTTCAAGGTGATAAGTATCAATGCAATAGCATGAAATTGTGTACTTAATTTGAAATCAAATGGAAAAAGAACTCTGATACAAGGGTATGTGGATGTTGTTGCAAAATGAGATTACAGATAACAAGAGATTTCAGAATATGAGCGATTTGCCCATTGCAAACATTTAGCAGTTCTCACAATCTGCTACTTGCCCTCACCTGTAAGCACGTTGTGGCGGATAGCTATTAGCTACTGCAGCAGAGTTCCTGCTTGGAGCTTTGTGCAGCCCTAGGTCAGATGAGAGGAAGGGAAGGTGGTATTAATTCCCAGGGATGGCAGTCTGGAATGGATCATGTAGGCATGTCCTAGGTAATTTTTTTAGCCTGTCTGCTACCCAGAACTATGGAAAAAAATTTAACTAGAACTTGAATGCTTTTTTAGCTTTTATTAAATGGAGTTGAAATATCTTTTTTCTAGGACAGTGATGGTGACAAAAGTGATGACAACTTAGTTGTGGATGTGTCTAATGAGGTAACCATTCTTTTCATCAAACTTTTCTTCAGAATGATTCAAATGGTGTTAGGGAAAACTCTTAACAGTAAATGAAGGAAGTACAGCCATGATGTTTTGGTCTCTTCCACTTTGTACATGAAGAGCTTACCGGTTGTTCATGTATGGAGCAATAATGGTCTAACAGCCATTAAAAAAAATTTCTCTTCCTCTAGTTGTTTCGGATTTCTCATTTGGGTGACTGGTCCCCCCTTCCCCCTTTCCCTTCCCGTGCCCTGCAAGGAAAGTACTTGTGCCTAAAGATGGATACCATAGATTGTGGAGTTGTTTTCTTTATGGTATGTTTGTAGGTATGTTTGCAGAAAGCATCTTTGTTACACATGTAACAATGTCAGACACTTTGCCCAGCCCCAACCTAAGGGACTGAGCATTTTAACTTAGAGGATGCATGTGGAAAGGGAAAAAGTCTATCCATTGTAAGCAAAGTCACTGAAAACTTTTGATTATGCTTGTTGAGGACCCTTCTTCTCCACGAGCAAGTCCTGCCCATTCGCCTCGGGAAAACGGAATTGACAAAAACCGCCTGCTAAAGAAAGATGCTTCTAGCAGCCCAGCTTCCACTGCCTCCTCGGGAAGTTCTGCTTCTTTGAAATCCAAAGAAATGAGCTTGGTAGGTGAAGAAAACTCACATTTACCTCTTTGGCAGCAGTGTGTTTTTCTCTGTGAACCAAGGGACTCTGAAATACTTGAAATGTGGGAGTTTTGCTGCAAGGGTTGTATTTCTAAGAGTTTAAAAGCAAAACTCTGGGCGGCACTGTGGCTCAGTGGGTAGGGCGCTGGCCCCATATACCGAGGGTGGTGGGTTCAAACTGCAACAAAAAAAATAGCCACACGTTGTGGTGGCGCCTATAGACCCAGGTACTCGGGAGGCTGAGGCAAGAGAATCGCCTAAGCCTAGGAGCTGGAGGTTGCTGTGAGCTGTGATGCTACAGCACTCTACAGAGGGCAATAAGGTGAGACTCTGTCTCTATTAAAAAAAAAAAGCAAAAGTCAGCCTTCTGTTCTTTGCCCCGTGCAAGGTTTACTTTTCCTTCTTGGTTATCCCTTTTGGGCCATGATTAGTGGGGATGAATAAGCTTCATATTCATTGCCTTCCTTGGTGTATGGCTCTCTGCAACTTCTCAGTTAGCAGACCATTCATCTCTCTTAAGTTCTAAGTAGTCCTCATTTTCTTAGGTGGGCCATTTACCTGGTAGACTGATTCATAATATTAGAGCATTTTGTGGAACATGCCCCCATATTATAGAGCTCCTCAAAATGGTGGTATACAGAGGCGGCCTTGGGGGAAGCCTGGAACTGGAGGCATGGGGTGAAGGGAGCATCAGAGCCCAATCATGTGCTCATTCATTCAACCAACCAACTTTGTTTGTGGAGTGTGTCATCTCTGAATGGTGACATTCTGTGACAACCTTGGGGTTAATGCTTACCCAGTCCCACTAGGCAATATCCAATTTCACTGACGTGGAGGAAAGCCCGTGTACCTTGACAAGGCTACACAGCCCTGGCCCACGATCCAAGGCCAGAAAAAGCTGGGATATCTTTTTGGCCTGTGCTCTTTGCTGTGCCATAGCAGTTCGTGGACTGTGTTGTAGAGGACATAAAACTTTGTGATACAAAAGAAGATGCCCTGTAACCCCATTATTGTCTCAACTCCTAAAGACTCCTGGCTGGTGTTAAGCCTCATCTGCTCTGGTGGGTTCACATTGGTTCTGTGGGAAAGTGGGCAGTGATTTTTTTTTTTTTTTTAATGTATCTATCTCAGAACAGCAGGGATAGCCTTAGGGCTTTTGCCTCTGAGATGCTGGCTCTGCTGTTCTTCACCCATTCGTTTTTACTCTCAGGGCTACGTAAGGTGAAATATGAGAAAAGGTATCTTCCTTCGGACATTCTTGGTGGCCAGGCCATGTGTTGTGACTGGGAACTGTTCTCTGGGTGGTCATCTTTCTTGCTTGGCATGGACCCAAAGTCCACAAGCCTGATGGAAAATACTTTTTAAAATAAAATCTGCGGAGGAAGACGTGTGATTGTGTTCTGTGTCTCTAGCTTGAGTTTTAATTCTGGCAGGAAGAGGAAAGGTCAACATTTCTCGCTCACAAGTTAATGCTGTCAACATTGTGTGGATTTATGAAAATTGGCTGAGGGAGTAGCAAGAAGGTGCCCAGTGTCCCAGCTGCTGTTGTGATAAATTGTGTAATATGGCTTGGATTAAAAATAATACTCATTTAATTTGTTTAATGATACCAGCATGAAAAAGCCAGCACGCCTGTTCTGAAATCCAGCACACCAACGCCTCGGAGCGACATGCCAACGCCAGGCACCAGCGCCACTCCAGGACTCCGTCCAGGCCTCGGCAAGCCTCCAGCCGTGGACCCCCTCGTTAACCAAGCGGGTAGAGCATCGCCTCTTTTGCTGCTTTGTTTTATTTCTCCCTTTCTCAGCTTGATTTGTTGTCTGTTAATCTCGTGATGCAGTTTCCCCATGAATATGAGATGCTCTTGTGGCCACCCCCCTTCCTAGCTCTGAAAAAGCTATGATAAGAAACAGATGTTTGTCCTTGGGTTTCAGCAGCTGTACCCTGTTCAGCCTCCAACTGTTTACATTCAAGTTGTCTTTTTATTTCCAAATGATCCAAATCCTAGGGACTTTAGTAAAGTTCCTGATAATTGTTCCAAACACAAGCACCTTACAAAACTATGGTTGTGCATCTGACTTCAGTGATACTGACCGAAATGGCTGGTTTGGCCTGCTCGGTATACTTCCGGTCGACTGCAGTTGGCTGGCTTTCTGCTGGTGCATGCTTCAGGAATCAGTGGTCTCTCCTTCAGTAGAAATCGGGAGGGTTTCACTGAGACTCCAGCCCATGAATAAACACATAACTTGCAACCTAATCTTTTTCACTGGGAGAAGAAAAAAGTAACAGCGTGGGCCCAAAGGAAAATAGGCACCAGAATATTCTTCCTAAACCCGTGCTTTGGTTTACATAAATCCAGGATTGGGTTTTCATTTGGAATTGGTACCAGGGAATGGAAAGTTCGGACTGAAGGAGAAATCTTGGATTTTATCAAGAAAATCTTCTTTTGAGATTAAGTCAGGTAAACACTTAGTGCCTTCCTTGGTTTGCCCTCTGTGAATTGGGTACAGTAATGCTGTTTAATCGTCCTGGCTTCCTGGTGCTGCCACATGCACCAATGAGAAAATGTGTGGGTTGGGCTCCCCCTGGGGCCCTTGCTTTCTGGAGATGAATTCAGCTCTGGGGAAGAATGGATCCAGTGTATAAACTGGAGGTGATTTCCACCCCCCCGTGCCCCTGTCTCCCCCCCGTAATGAATGACGCTAACAAATAACACTAGAATTGCCACTCAAGTTTGGCTCCAGTGGCTCCAGTTGACTCATGCGAGTCTTACATTTCCTTTCAGCAGCCGGTTTGAGGACACCCCTGGCAGTTCCTGGCCCGTACCCCGCTCCTTTTGGGATGGTCCCCCATGCAGGCATGAATGGCGAGCTGACCAGCCCCGGTGCCGCGTATGCCAGTTTGCACAACATGTCTCCCCAGATGAGCGCTGCCGCGGCCGCGGCTGCCGTGGTGGCCTACGGGCGCTCCCCGATGGTAGGCTGTGGTCGGGTGGGCTTTAGGGGGTTAGGAGAGCCGCGTGCTTCAGTGAGCACCATGGGGCTGGGGGTGGGCAGGCCACTGGGTGCTGCCTAGGCAGGAGCGGCCAACCCCACACACCTCAGGAACAAAGACGCCCAGTGTCCAGCTTGCATACTCACCTTCCTCGTGTCAGCCATCAACACGCTACTTCATTGAGTGAGGGCCAAATGTTTTTTCTTTGACTATTTCTGTGGATGAAGAAGGCAGTGTTGAGAAGCTCCTTCAGTGCTTCAGGGGACATCTGGTTTTCTCCCACCAATGTAGATTTTTTCATTTGAAGGTGATGAAATAACTCAAGTGGCTGACAGAAGCCTTTTCATTCGTTTTCTTGAGCTTCTCCTCCAACTCCCCTGCTTTTTAAACCTTAGGAAAAAACATGAGGAAAGCCTCAGCTTTTTTCCTCTATGCCTATATTATACATTAAACCCAATAAACAGCCCAACTGTGATTTCTGGTAGAGCAGGTAGAGAGACAGACAGATGGAAACCACAGGGGCAGGCTCTCTGTATAGTCTCAGCCCATCTTCCACCACTATGCAAATGGCTTAATTTTTGACCAGGAAGATACAGAACCACATTTCGAGGGTAAAATTGACTGTGTCATCATTGTTTATATCAGGAAAATAGTGTAGATGATCCCCCGTAGCAAATTAAAGTCCCAGAATCATTTCTGCTTTCTAAAATGTGTCGTGTACCTTCCTGTCTTGTCTCTTCTTCACATAGCATTTCCACTGATAGTTAGGGGTGATAGTAAAATTCATTGATTTTTTTTTTGTTGTTTGTTTGTTTGTTTTTTAAATGTTGCACTTCCAGCACAGGCTGTGCAGTGGAGGGTGAGAGAGTTAGTAAGGCAGGCAGCTGAGTGACTAGCTGCTCTCCTAAGTGCACAGCGCAGGGACCCAGGTATGAACCTAAAGTGCTAATGTAGACCAGAGGTATGCAGTGGGGGGGGGGACGTATTTTTATCCCTTAGTGACATTTGGTAGTATCTGGGGACACTTTGGATTGTTATAACTGGGGAGAGAAATTATACTGACACATGAAGGCCAGGAGTACTACTCATATCCTGCAGTGCCCAGGAGAGTTCCCAACAAAGAAAAGAAGTATCTGGCCTCAAGCACCAGTAGTATGGAGGTTGAGAAATCCTTATCCTTATACAGCGTAATGCTTTTTGTATTCTCTTGGGCAAGGCAGAACGCTTTTAGTTTGTGGGACTTATTTACCATGGGAAGCTAATTCTCAATGCACAAACAGGTCATACCTCCTAAAAGCGTGTCTTGTGATGTTTAGAGGTGGTTATATTATTTCTGGCATTTTTTTTTTCTTTTGGAGACAGAGTCTCATTTTGTTGCCCTTGTTAGAGTACCGTGGCATTATAGCTCAAAGCAACCTCAAACTCTTGGGTTCAAGTGATTATCTTGTTTCAGCCTCCTGAATAGCTAGGACTACAGGTGCCCTCCATAACACCTGGCTATTTTTAGACACAAGGTCTCTTGCTCAGGCTGGTCTTGAACTCTTGAGCTTAAGCAGTCTGCCCACCTCAGCTTCCCAGAGTGCTGGGATTACTGGTATGGGCCACCACACCTGGACTTCATTATTGTTATTATTTTGGGAGACAGGGTGCTCATCTCCCAGGCTGGAGTACAGTGGCACCATCGTAGCTCATTGCAGCCTGGAAGTCCTGGGCTCGAGTGCTCCTCCTGCCCCAGGCTCCTGAGTAGTTGGGACTAGCACCTGCAGCCAGCTGCAGGTGCAGCTGTTTTTTTAAATTTTGGGGGGGTTATTACTATGTTGCCTATTTCATCTCAAACTTGGGGCCTCAAGTGTACCTGCTGCCTTAGCCTCCCAAAGTGCTGGAATCATAGACAAGAGCCACCATGCCTGGCCTTTATTTATTTATTTTAAATACTACGCTCTGTTACTGTTCCAATTTATATTGCTTTGGGGATGTATGTGTTTCTAATGAAAGCCTTTATTGTTGTCAAATTGCTCTGCCTTACTTCGACTAAGCTTGCAATGCTTTGTTTTTGTTTGTAGGTGGGGTTTGACCCTCCCCCTCACATGAGAGTTCCTGCCATCCCTCCAAACCTGGCGGGGATCCCTGGGGGGAAGCCGTAAGTACCTCTCAGGCCTTGTTGTAAAGGTGGTGACTCAGTCATTGGTATTAGCAGACTATAATTCTAAAGGGAGCACCGGCTTGGGTGTTTCCAAGGAGATTTCTGGTGTCTTTTCCTGAGGAGTGTTAACACTTTCTATAAATAGGCAGCTTGTAGGTGTCATGCCTCCGTCTTCTCCCTGTGGGCGATCTCATACGTCTGGTTATTTCTGGAGAGAAGCTGTTGGCAGTGACTGCGAGGTGGGAGGGAAGAGCTGGGGGTGCTTGGCCCTTCTTGCTTGACCCTGCTGAAGGCTACTTCATTTTGCTGTGTGGGTAAAGTGCAGCAGGCAGAGGATTTCAGCAGTGCTTCGTGTGGGTGGTTAAGTTGTCCCAGGCCTGGAAATCTCAGAAATTTGAAATGTGTCACCTTTTTACCCAGTTCAGTGCCACCTCTTCTTTATTGTGGTAGAAATGAGAGTTACTTGAAGGGTGGCTTTCACTGGATGCCAGCGTCCCAGGCTGACGTCTGGATAAAGTTTTGATTAGTACCTTAGCTGGAGAAATCTAGAATGGTGACCAGTAAAGTGGCTTTGTGGGGAAGCAGGGAAGGTTTGAAGTGCACAGAAGCATTCAGAAGGTGAGAAAAAGACGGGTTATTCTTCCCAGGTCACTTAAAAAATCGCTTGCTTTCCATACTGTTAGTAATGAGAAGCATGATTTTAAAGAATTCCTAAAATTCTCAAGTTTTATACACAGCAAAATTGAAATATGAGGGTCTGTCTCTCTTCCCAGAAAATACTCTGCCTTTTTTCAAGCTGGAAAATGGCAGGTGGTCTTTTCAAACGTTTTTTTCTGGATAGAGGTACTGGTGGTACATGGCTTGGGCTTTGAGCTTGTCTTTATCGTATCCTGTACCTTTGTGTGGATGCTTTCAGCTTTCACCTGTGTGTCGCTTGCATGTCACATTAGTGTGTTCTTTTGTGGTCCGTTCGGCTGCATAGTCATCCTTGTATGGTTTTGGTGAGAGCCTTGTTTCAAGTAAACCACCAGCATGAGGAAAAAGTAGATTCCTTACCCATTGCCTGCTTTTTAGGAAAGCAGATTTCCCATTGCTCCACTTTTCGTGCACTAGAGAATCTATTTTATGGCAATTTGGTTCATAATGAAGTCTTTGTCTGCGGTGGGAATTAGTATCAGTGTTCAGAATTTAATGTGACATCCCGGCCCAGAGAAGAAGTGGGATTGAGGTGGACAGCAGTGTTGCCAGATGCTTCCTCAGCTGGTTGGTTGGTCTCTTCCTGCGGGACACCTGTGAGTCCCATTGTGTGTTTTCTTGGGAATGCCCCTTTCCCTCCACCCTGGGATGTCCTTGGGGGCATCTCAGGGCACACTTCTTATCTGTGGTTCCCAGCAGTGTTGCTGTCTTGTGTCCTACTGATTGGTGAACGGGTGAAGGGCAAATAGTGACATTGTACTAAGAAGTGATGACAACAGCAGCTGGTAGATCTTCAGGAGAAATAATAGGCAAATCAGGTCAAGTTCAGCTGACCCTTCAGGAAAGCTAGCTTCAAGAATCCAGAGGCGTGAGGGTGGGTTCAGCTATCAAGACCCCACCTTGAATGTGATGAAGACTTCATTTGGGAGTGGTAGGCTGAGCTGTGAGCTACAGTGTTGGTGTGGAAAGTCATCGGTGTGCAGGACACGTTAATTGGAACCCTCTTTCTTGCATACACTCGCTTGTATGTATGCTTGTTAATGTGATTACACACAAGACAGTAGTGGCATCATCCTAGAGGCAGGTATTCATGTCCACGGTTTGTGAGCACTTTGCACTTCATTGTGTTGAAAGCCGTGCAAAGTAGAGTTACAGCATGCTTAGGGACTCAGTGTAAGGGCGCTTTTCTCACCTCGGCCAAAGGGGCCATTGTCCTTTGGATCTGAGAGGTCACTGCTAACTCTAAAACAGTAAAAATAGGCTCAGCGCTTATAGCTCAGGCGGCTAAGGTGCCAGCCACAGACACCAGTGCTGGCAGATTCGAATCCAGCCTGGACCTGCTAAACAACAATGACAACTATAACCAAATAATAGCTGGGCATTGTGGGGGGCACCTATACTCCCAGCTACTTGGGAGGCTGTGGCAAGAGAATCCTTTAAGCTCAAGAGAGCTTAAGCTGTGAGCTGTAATACCACAGCACCCTACCCAGGGTGACAGCTTGAGACTGTGTCTCAAAAATAAATAAATAAATAAAAATAAAATAGTAAAAATACAGTTTTTAGGACTCCCTTTCATGTTTGAGGTGAGCCATATTACATGAGGAAGACAGAATTAGTGTCAGAGGGAAAAATAAATTTCATATTGTCACTGGGAACTGGGTTATACAGTCTGATTACCCGTGTTAATCCACTAATTAGCACAAGGAGACTTGTTGCTCTTCTCATTTCTTAAAATAATGTTACCTGAGGCAGGGTCTCTCGAACCAGTGCGCTCAAACCATTTATGGTGATAGACCAGTTTATTCCTAGTATGTTAAAGATTAATACTTTTGTAATATACAATAGAAATGAATATTGGTGAAAAGAGAGAAAATCCAAAGTCCACATTTTTTGTTACAAGAGTTCACAGCCATAAACTGTCAAGTTGCCACGTTTAGGTTTCTAAATGCTTCCCTTTGGTGACTATGCTCATCTCATCGCAAACAGTAGCAAATGTTTGCAGACTGTATGTTGAGTGGGGCTGGTCTCAGGCCCTTAAGAGAAATGGGGACAAACCAGTACGGCCAGGGTAGGGTGAACAAGGCAGTAAACGCAAAATAACTTTCCGAGGAATACCTGCTGATGGAATGTGTGTGTAAGGTGGTGGGAGGCATGATGGCTATCACACACCGGGAGCATGAACTGTGTGTCTGGCTTTGCGAATATGCTGAGCAAGCTTCAGGGAAGAGGGAGCTCCCCAGTCATTGAAAGCACAGTAAATACCACAGCTTAGGGGTGTCCAACTTGTGCCTATGGACCTCATGATGATTATTTGAGAGCTATTTTGCTTATCTATGAATCACAAAAAGTATGTGCGGGTTGCTCATCAGCTATCGTTAGTATTTGTGTATTTAATGCATGGCCCAACACAACGCTTACCTTTCCAATTTGGGTAGAGAAGAAAAAAGCTTGGATATCTCTGCATAAACTTGTTAGTGCTAAATGTTGTTGAAGCAGAGCAGTGGGTGATAGGGAAGTAAATATACGTGTAAAGAAGTGACCAAAACTAGAGCAAGAAAGACCTTCTGAGGTTCAGAGCACATACTGAAAATTGAAGTGTGTGCCAGAAAGAGTGAGCCCACAAGGCAGGGCAGCACCGGCGTGCACAGGGAGAGAGCGTGAGGGATGCGGGTACAGAGGGCGACCACCTTACAGCCAGAAGAGTTCAGTCGGGACTGGAGGGACCTTAAAGTCCTTTAGTATAAATGCTCATAGCCACGCCAAGTGCCTCTGTGCCTCTGGCCATGCGTGTCCAGGGCAGGGGACCCACTGCTGCCCAGAGCAATGCATTTTCCATGGCTGTGTGAAAACTCGTCCAGCCTTTGAGCTGAAATCTGTCTCCCTGGAACCTTGACCCATCAATTCTAGTTCTTTCCTAGCCCCTGAGACCAAACAGTGCACTGCTAATCCATCATGCTCACAGCAGCTCTTCACATATCTGGAGGCTTTGCTTCTGGCTCAGTTTGTCTATTGCTTCAGCACTATCTTGTGGGATAAGATTCTGCACTCCCACGTCACCTGCTTTCTAAAATGTAGACACTGTCACCTCTGCCCCATCCATGATTCCCCAGATATCAGGGACACCTAATGCATAGGCTTAGGGGACCCTATTTGGGAGCTCATAACCTAGGATGGTGTATAGGGGAGGAGGAATTTTTCTCTACTCTCTTAGAGTCTGTACCTAAGAATCAAACCGACGTAAGACGCATTAACAGGAGACAAGTATGTAAGTTTTATTAAAATTTTACTCATACGTGGAAGTTCTTATAAGAAAATGAAGACCCAAAGAAAAGTGACCGAAGCAGACAAACAGCTTATAAACTATATACTTTGTATGCAAAGGAATGATAAATGCAGGAAGAAATGACAAAGAGTTTGGGCGCGCTAATCAGCTTTCGTTCTAGTTTGTGTATTTAATGTGTGGCCCAAGACAACTCTTTCTCCAATTTGTAGCAGAGAAGAAAAAGGTTGGCTGCCCCTTAATTTGTCTTCATCTCTTGTGGAAACATTTTCTGTGTTTTGAAGTCCACTTCAGTTACTGCCGTCTTCGTGAACGTGGTGGATGCCTTCCCACATCTGATCTCTCTCCGGTGGCACCTTGTAATGTGTGTGGCACTTTCGCACTTTGGTCTTGGTTTATATAATCATGCGTACAAGTCTTATTTCCACCTGCTTCCCCCCAGAAGAAAGGAAGTTCCTGAAGGTTCTTGTCCCTTAAAGCACAGATACTGGGTAAATCAATGTTTGTTGCATTGAATGGGCAAGAAATAAGTCTAGGATTGTACAAGACTTTGCGATTCATCCTTTTCCAAAGGAGATTCCCATTTTTCATTTCAGAATTAAGAAGTGGTGATTTTATAAAGAGATAACCTCAAGTTTGTTTTCAAACCCTCAAGGCTAGATTTAATTGGTACTGTTTAGTCAGTTTAACTCAGATTCATTTTTAGTTTTAGGACATTAATTCCCCTGAGCTCTGTGGAATAGATCATTGGTAACAGAAATTCCAAAGCTTAGTTAGCCTTTTCCCACCCCGTAGCACTGCTTTTCTAACTGTAACTGCCTGCGGCTGTGCTCTACCTACCTAGAGTCAGTAACAACTCAGACTAACAATAGTTTGGCTTAAGATTCTAGGTTAGTTCCAGGTTCTTTCATCCTGTGTTTTAATGCCAGACATATAATTTAGAAATCTTCTACCTACTTGTTTAGTGTTTAAATAAATCTTTAAAGTATCTTTTTGGAGTTAGAGTCCAAATGGAAAAGAA